TTAAATATTGATGATAAAGTGTAGGTCACAATGAGTTGTGCTCAGATAACATTCATCACCAAAGTGACTATGATGATAATGTACGCAATAAAAAAAACTTCGTAAGGAGCTGCTGCCATAGCTGAAATGTCCATTTTCTCGTGGAGAATAAAATGTAGCGTTACAATCTTTCTTCAGCTGTCAAACCAAAACCAATTACAATGACACAGATATAGTTCACTGGTATAGAAACATTGAGAAGATGTCAATGAAAACAGTCTTAACATTATCAATAGGGTAAATGTCTGCCACCATTTAGTCAGATATTCTCGCTGACTCTGGAATCCAATCACGGACTGAAAGTCCCATACTATGCAACACTGAATAACACCACAGTAAAAAGATAATAATAATAATAATTTATTCTCAAATAACAGATTGTTACATGAGGCATGCCGGTTTACAGGCAAGATCAAATCGTTAAAGAAGTTACAATTTTCACTGTTGAAAATTACTCAGCTGGGTTGATATTTCATAAGATATGAATGTAAATGGATTTCATAAGAAACATGTCAATATCAATATCACACTTGGCGCACTTTATGGAGGTAGTGTTGCAGCATACAACTGATGGTCGAGAATAGATACATGCGAAGTTGGGGGATGTTAGCACAACAAAACAAGATCATTAATTTAAAACCCAGCCCTCTTGACGTCGCGTGATACTGATTACCGCCAAATATAGCCCAGCTGATGTGAAGTTGCTCCATACGATCAGTTTTTGGCTGAAGCACAAGATACACTCGTTGCGGAAACATTAGTTCTAATTTTTAAGGTCATTTCGTAAGCTGAATTTCTTCTGACGATGCCTTCATATAGAAATACCCTGAAGAAATATTATCCTCCTTACTGTCAGCCTGGGTTTTTCGTAAGGAATACGAAAACGAAGTAGGAAATGCTGGTGACGTCAGTGAAGAATTGTAAGTTATCAACTCTCACTCTTTTTTAGGAACAAGCTGTTTATAAGTCTAGATAATGCTTTTATTTTATTCGGTGCTCTCAGATACGACTATGTAAATTATTCTTGGATAAAGGCTATCTTGAGTGATGTATTATTCGTATGTTTATACATTTTGTCTGAAAGAACTGGTTAAAGGTATCTAGAATGGTTCTTTATCCGACAGAAGTACTTTTGACTTATTTGAATATGTTAGTCTACGTTTTTAACTGGCACAGTGGAAAATTAGGCCTGACAAAACAATATGGAATATGATACGTACTACTGACTGGATAAAAATGGAAACCATCACGAAAGTAACAGCCAAAGGTACAGGGATTATTCAAAAGACTATTTGGCGCACTATATTTAGGCATATAATGAACAGAAGTTGTTTGGTGCGCTATATGGCTGAACAAACACAGTCATGGTGTCATCACTTGATAAGTTAACAATATATCATATTGCTCTAATCTAAAAGTTGATGTCACAGATTTATTTGCTGGCTCAGAGAATCGTTTTTAGATGACGTGTGAGCACTATCCTCAATAAAGTAAAATCTTTTCTCAAAAGCTCGGGAAAAATAATGGGGAACAGTAAAGAATAATAGATAATATACAGGAACTTACAAATCGTAGGAGTAAATGTCGAGTAATCTCAAAAGCACTCCGTCTCTTCATGTAATGAGTCAGACGGAAAACTTTCTTTGATAGCAGTAACAATAAACACCAAAACGGAATTTAATATAACAAGTTATAATATCACTTTTCCAGTGAGTCATCTGTAAATAACTCCCAGTCAGCCGTGCGAAACATGTTTTCCAGATTTTGAATATTTTCTTCTGAGTATTCCCTATATTTGAATTTCTTGGTCCGATGTATGAGTGTACTATTTTCATGCTTTTCATATACTTTAGGTAGAACACGAATAATATAGTGATCCGAGCTAGATGATGGAGAACGTTTACGAGTCACATATGTAACCGCACAAAAAATGAGGACGAATTCTAAATAAGCATCCAAACTAGTGGGAATATCTACTACATTTTGATGACCTAGTAATGAAGAAAGCTACAGTCACATGAATTGAAATCACCACATACAATTGAAAGTGAACCCCCGAATACAGTAACAGCAAGTTCAGTGTATTCATCAGCGGAAGCAGATCGTGCAGACCACATGCAGTCTGAAGTCATGTAGTTGTTCATAACATAAACATATTTGTATTTGTTCAAGTATTTTGAACAGTATCTTGAAGTTAAACATTCGACAAAGTCATTGTCAAGCTCGGGACGTGCAAAGGTAGTTCGACACCAGTTTACGCTTACAAACGCAGCTACACGACCATCACACCTTCTTTTTGCTTGATCGACCCTGAAGATAATGATACTAGGCGATCATCCTGTATAATAGTCAACCGAAATTCTTGGATTGTGATGACATCACAATTATGAGATATGCTTTGGCTGAATAGAAATTGGAGATAGTCCACCTTGTTAATTAGTGATCAGCAGTTAGAATTTAGCAGCTTGGGAATCGACACATGATTATTGTTCCCTCTCTTCAATGCATACTTCCAACCACCATGATATATGTTATTGTACTTATGTACAACCCGTACAGCGAAAGTTTGTAAGCTTTTCCTAAAAGCGCCTGTATCGTATATGCGATTAATAGACATGAGGTTTTAAAACAAAACAAAAAAAAAACAGATAACATGTTGAAATATTTGGATGGTAGAAACAGGTATCCCATATACTTAAGCAGTGCGTGCATATCAGCAGAAGCTCTTCTCAGTTCAAAATCATAAAAAAATATTTTATATAATAGGGCCGAATATATATATATATATATATATATATATATATATAGCCTTATTTGAAGGAGTAAGAGGGAGGAAAAATATCGAATTCGAAATTCCTGGTAATACAGATAGGCATGGATAGGAAGAGATATAGAAACACAAAACAGTTTAACATTTCAAAGAAGCTGATAATGGATGATAATTTTTTACAATTTCTAGGAAAGCTGTGAAAAGTAATGTACACGAGTGATATGAAACAGATAAACGTGTAAACAAATATAGTTGAGTATGTGTTGTGTTCACATGAAATAATGATTCCCTTGTACCTAATGTCTGTCTTATTTCGAATTCCAAATACAATACGTTCGTTCGTGCTCATCTAATATTTCTTGGTCAAGTTGCGTTATTCCTGGGATTCCTAGTTTGTACTATAATTCAAATACTTCTAATTATCACAGTATTGCTGATGAAATAACTCTAAAAGACACAGTAACAGTAAGTATTTAATCAATTCCATATATTATAGACACTAAAACGACAAGATATGTGCAAACAAATAAAAGATATGTACGTAATATACTTCACTACAGATGATGACAAAAGAAAAGTTATATAAAAAAGACAAGGTAACTTTGCCATACGTACTGGGACCTTCACACATACATACAGGATTTCTCTCACAACATGGAATCGCTGTAGCAGTAGGGAGAGAAGTTCACGTGGCATAGATGTATGTAAACCGACTCACCAGGTTTGTGAATATTCGGGTACATGAAAATTCAGAATATTAAACCTCGGTATAAAAAGGCGTTTCCATTCAAAATGGTGGCAAAAATAACTGCAAAGCATTGCATTGTAGTTGTAACTAAATCCTCAAAACCAATAACACTGTAAGTGTTCGACATTTGATGCTGACCACATTAGTTTCAGTGAACTCATTTAGCTGAAGGCGCTCGGTCATGGATCCGTACCACATCACGTTACAGAACGGCGTGAAAAACATCTGTTACGATCATTAGCCAGATTAGATCAGTCGGTCCTTGATATATTGATCATCTATCAAATATATCTTCCAAACTCCTCGCTTCTGACTTTTGATTTAACTGGGTGGGCGCGATTCGATTATAGGTGTTGCTGGTAAAGACTTGCCAAACTACAATACTGGTGGTATCTTTCAACTCGTCAAATTGTAATGCACGGTCTACAAATATCAATGAGGAAAAGAAAACCGAAGTGAATACAGTTCTCGAGTATGCAAAAGGACTAATTAACCAAGGAATATCTTCATGAGTACTGATAAAACGGGTCAAACAATACCACGATTTTATAAACCAACATAACAACAGAACCCTTGATACTTTTTCCCTCAGTCTTTGAAATATCTGCACCACCTGACTATCATGTATCGAAACAGCAAGCTGTCCTACTGCAACTGCCAAAAAACGTAATTTTCATTAATGTGCTGAAGATACTATCAGTATTGTAGTTTGGCAAGTCTTTACCAGCAACACCTATAATCGAATCGCGCCCACCCAGTTAAATCAAAAGTCAGAAGCGAGGAGTTTGGAAGATATATTTGATAGATGATCAATATATCAAGGACCGACTGATCTAATCTGGCTAATGATCGTAACAGATGTTTTTCACGCCGTTCTGTAACGTGATGTGGTACGGATCCATGACCGAGCGCCTTCAGCTAAATGAGCTCACTGAAACTAATGTGGTCAGCATCAAATGTCGAACACTTACAGTGTTATTGGTTTTGAGGATTTATTTACAGCTACAAGTTGTATATTTATTGAACAAGACCTAAAGAAATGATAACCTGGCTGAATTAGTTTGTTATTCTGGATGATTTTATTTTACGGGAACCATATGGTGCGTTATCGTACCCTGAAGTTGACATTAATTTGGGAAAAATCAGACTCAAAGAGGAAGATAATCCTATGTTTTACATCAGACGGTTCTTCTGATTATGAACTGAAATGATGTTCTTTCTGTTATCTTTTGGATTAAATTAAATATTATGTTTCTCCATGAACAACCCCCATCTACCATTACCTAAACTCAGATCCACAAAAAGCAACAGTTCCCTAATTCTACTCAGTAAATTTTAAAGGATTTTCATAGCGGAGTTCAAGCTTTTGAAGGCTTAGTGTCAGTTTATTCAAACTAACTGGTCACAAACATTCAGGATGTATTACACATTACTATTTCAGGAGCATATTTCAAAAATAATCACGTAAGTTTGAGGTTTAATGTTGAAGGTTATATGATGAGCCGCGGCACTCAAAAGTAAACGTAAGTTCCTAGTTGGTGATTCATGAATGAATTCCCCCATAAACTCTTATGTTTTGTGCAAAATTGCTTGTTTTATGTGTATGCATTGTTGATATTCGCTCATTTATTACAATGTTTTCAATGCGATTGAATGTTTTGACTTCTTTAAAGGATAAAAACCGCTCACAATAGTTTGTGTTTTGTTTACATGTGTGATAACTTACACAAGTATATTGTAAGATTAGTTTTCAGATGAAGACTGTCATTTTATGTCCAAAACTTTAGGGAACTTTCGGACTTCTGTTTTTAATGCGCCGTAGAGTTTTCGACTCAAAACTCAAAACAGTTCATTTATTATTTGAACACAAATATTTGTACAAGAGGGCACCAAATATATATGCGCTACACAGTTACAATGAGGCCGACCTGTGTGAGGGCCGGGGTGTCCAAATCGAAGAAGGTGGTTCCCTTAGGGAGCTACGCACAGAGCTTTTGACCTAGATTGTCTAATCCACAAGACAATGGAGCAACGTTGGAAGATGCAGTATTATGATAGCTGTTGGCCAACAATAGATTCATACACCAATTTTTACATCAGGATCTTGGAGCCCCTAAATACCATTGGTCAACACGTAAGCTATCACATTGCCCTCCATGGATTAATAAGAAAACCTGGAAGTTGTTAAAGCGTAGGAAACACTTCTGGGACTTATTCTTATCAACAGGGCAGGTATCCTTTAAGTGCGAATATAATAAAACTCGAAATGTATGTCAAAAGACCATAGCTAAATTCCGTACGACATACGATCAAGCAAAAGCTGAGACTGTAGTGTTACAACTACTTGTCCCATTTACACCAAGATACCAGCCATAAGATCTGTACATGTAACTGAGGAAGTTGTTCTTCCATTGATAACTGACCTCAAACTTTTAAGATAACGGGCCCCGATGGGTTACATCCACACATGCTGTCATCGCTTGCGGACATTATTTCAAGACCGCTCGCGAAGCTCTTCAACATGCCCCTTTCACTCTCTCAACTCCCTAGAGATTGAATAGACTCTATAGTCAGTCCTATATTTAAGGATGATCAGAGACGGACCGTATCTAACTACCGGCCCGTCAGCCTAACCAGCATAGTCGTTAAGTTACTTGAAAAGATAATTCGGGTTAAGTTGTCAAGTCACATAAAATCGTACAATCTGCTAACTCCCGAGCAACATGGGTCTCGTAATAAGCGTTTATTCTTGACCAATTGCGAGAGAGGATTGCACAGCAGCCCTAGATAAACGGCCTGTCTGTCGATGTGATATTCATAGATTTTAGCGTTTGACAAGGTTTCACAATTAGGTCTTATTCAGAAGCTCTCGAGCTTTGGAATAACAGATGCTATACGGGATTGGATAGGAAACTTCTTATGTGACCGCAGACAGAGATTAAGGGCCAGTGGAACGCTGTCCGAATGGAAGCTTGTCAAAAGTGGTGTACCCCAATGCACCATCTTAGGCCCTCTACTTTCCCTTCTGTATGTTAATGAATTACCTCTTTTGCTTAAATGGTTGACATTATTCTTTGCCGATGATGTCGAAATCCGGAGAACAATAAGAAGTGAGGCTGATCGTTTTCATCTCCAAGCTGACTTAGACGAATTAGTTAGATGGGTTAATGATTGAGGCTTAAAAGTTAATTCCATGAAGAGCGTGCTCATGCACATCGGACACGGTAAGAATTACCATTATACTATTGACGGTATATCTCTTCCATGAGTTCAAGAACGTAAAGACTTAGGAGTAACAATAGTCACGACTTGAAAACAACTACGCACTGCAACGCAGCTGTTTCCAAAGGTTATCGTGCGTTATGGTCACTTCGCCGAGCATTCAAATGTTTTGACGAGATGTTTCTCCTTGAAGAGATTGGATTATTGCTGGTCGTAGCAACTTGGGAGCGTGACTCCTGAATCTGAGCAACAACCCAAGGCCGGTTACATACGGACTTCCTATGAGTTCTTTATGTAATGTCTTCGTGCCTCAAAAAACTTCATCACCGGTGACTGAAATTTATAATGCAAGGTGAGGTGTGACATATGCGAGGTCCTATATTTACTTATGACTGACTGACTCAGTACGGTAATAAATTATGAGGCCGTACACTTTTTTTATAGACCTTTTATCAGCCGCTTATTCAGGGTAGCTTTTAGAGGTTTCTCAATCAAGTTATATTCTTAAGCCATAATTATGTGAACAGTTCTGTGAATTAAATATAAATGTAGTTATCAAGTCTCGCCTATTTCTGCAACGTTTTTCTGATTTGTGCTCTATATCAAATCAGGTTAAGACTTCATATACATGTATGTAAACACTCATTTAGTATTTCGGTTACTAGTCATAAAGTTTTCCATTAAAAATTACTTTCTTTTAACTGGCTGGTAATTCTGAATCGTATTTAATTATGCATTCATTTTCATTGGGTGAATGATAATCATTTTTATCTTACGATTTATTCCATTGTCAAGCACCTGCGTTTACGTCTCATAATTGGATATTCAGCTATTTCCTTTGTGATTATTTTTCAGTGTCGATGTCTTATCACTGTTTACTACATAATATACATACATGTATGAGTACATGGATGAATTACCTGCTATTCAGTTATCCGATCTAAATGAATTCATAACATGTAAATTATGTAAAGGTTATTTAATTGATGCTGTCTCAATAACTGAATGTCTTCATCCATGTAAGTGGAATATTTCTTGCCGTGTAATATACATTTGAATTTTTAGTCTGTAAATCTTGTATAGTAAAGTATTCAGAAGAAAAACGTGAATGCCCTGTTTGTGGGATTCTCATCCATCAAAGTCATCCATTAAATTATATGAGGTTTGTTTCATTTAATAGATTTTTATGTTTTCTATTTTCATATGACAATAGTTTTGATCGTACTCTTCAAGATATTGTTTATAAAATTGTACCAGATTTAAAACAAAGTAAGTGCGCTGTTCGCTTTGTGTAACAAAACTTTATATAGAAGAGAGAAAACGTCGTGAGGTCTTCTATAGATCTCTTGGAAAAACCCCACCCCCCTCAGAAGGTAACATTAGTGCAGTAATTTATAAATAAATTAAATGTGTCATGGTATACCCATTGAGTCACTTTGACTGATCTATTCAACTTAGGAAAAGGAGAGATGTTAGTTGGTGACCTTCCTAATTATGTAGTTGTTATAATTGTAGTAGTAGTCCAGTGTAATGTTTTTTCGGAATCGTTAATTGTATGGGTGCTAATTTTATCAGGTCTCAGCGAACGTTCATACTTGGTTACCCACGTGTAGCTTCTATTTGTCTTTCCAACGTTCTTCGTATTCTTAGTTACTTTATAGCTGGCAATAGCATTAAGGTGGATTCATTTGAGTGTGTATTTTAAGGAACAGTCTCTTATAGTGAAAATATTAGTATGAAAAATAACACCATAGGTCACACTCAGAATACTAAACAGTATTAATTAGATCTCTACCGTATGAAAAATTAATTTCCCGTCCTATGGTAATCTCTATTTCTAGGTTTACTGCTTTTGGTATGACCGTACCACATTCTTGAAACAGAGGGTCCATTAGGTTTAGCTGGTAGAGCTCATATTAGTCAGTGTACCATACTGACTTGACCCACTGTTTACGTAAAAATAAAGAGAAATGAGGTTACACTATATACGGCATGACTTATGCAAGTTTTTGTATTTATCAGTCATGATTATTGTTTAGCATATTCTTCTAAATACGTGTTTTAATAATTCGAGCTTATCACGATTGTTAAGCGTTAGTTAAGGCCTTGGTCATTAGATAAAATATTAGAATCAGTGGTATTATGGAGTTTAATTAGTTTGTAATTAGGATGCATTAAGAGGTGCGAATTCTAATGAATATACTATTGTATTGGTTGGTACTTTTGAATTTTATATTAAAAAACAAATAGGATGAAACTATAATTCATGGATGACCATTGAGCAACGCTAAAATGACCTTGAAAATGTCCACCTACTAACTAAAACTAACTAAGAGTTATAGAGCAGTGTAAGGAATTAGGATTATGATTTACAGTTGGTGGTTAAGGCTAGGAATTAGATTTAGGGTTTTAATCACAAATTTATATAAGCTATAATGCCCAAATAGTATTTAATCAAATGAATGTATGAATTTCGCGCTAAAATCCGCGACCTGTTATCTTAAATATGATTGGTCCGTTCATAAATTATAGTCTCGCCTTTATTTCTAATTGGGACATATTTGTGAGACGGCAATATCAATGAGGAGGAACTGGTAAGACAAAAATGTTGATAAATTTATGCACTGATGGAAATGTGGATAAATGTTTCCCATCCAAATGTCTCCCGTTTTACTAAATATGAATTACTTACGTATTCACATAACGGTTGTAGTTACAGGTTAAATAAATAGAAAATAAACTAATCTTATATTTATCCTAATTTTACTGTTAAGTAAATTATTTTATCATTGGTGAATTAAGTAATAAGAAATTTTGTGCCAAGCAGATATTTAAACAGTTTGGGATGCTTTCGTTAAAATAGTTTTCCAACTAACTGGTATATTATATAAAAGTCAACATGGAATATGTGTGAAATCATCTATATATATATATTTATATATATATAACAGCTGTGTAGGGTTACAGTTAATGCACATTAACAGATAACCGTGTTCTAGGTTGACATTGTCTTTAGTTAACCGTTGGGATTAATATCCCAGATATATTTTCTTGACACGTTGTCTATATTCACTAGAAGCTGGAAAATTATATTTAAATATTGACATCATTATAGCAGTCATTTTCTTGATCATGGGTATCGTTCGTTGTCATTTAACTCACCCGTACTGTGGTGTGGGCTACTTATATCCACACAAGTAGTCTATAACGATGGTCGGACGTTGAATGTATTTCAGTAGAAGATCGATAAGGAAAGAACGCAATTGGTATGAAAATGCATGAACAATGATAATAATAATCGGAGACTATGGACTGATATTTGCAGAAGGGATGGTCAAGATTGAGACAGTTGGTTGATGGTTTGCAAATTAACTGTTTACTGTATGGTTGTCAGATTTTAGTGAGATAGTCTGTAATTGTCGTCTCAAATACATTCGGTTGTCCCCACTCGTTTTCTTGTTTACTACAGTACCATCACTCTCAGCTTGTGGTCATTTTATCATCCATGATTGAAAAATTAGGTTTACTTATATGTATCCTGTAACAATATAAAAATTAGGGATGAAAGTGTATTGTTATAAATGCAGGGAATTACTTTATTGTTTTGATTCATTGTGTTATTCACATACTGGCAGCAATCAGTTTAGATTTGATATTTTCTACCCTTCAGGGTTGCTAAATATGCCATCTAATGAGGTATATTGTATTAGTTTTTCTGAATTATTAGATCCATGCAAGAAACCGTAGAACAGAAAAATAATGCTTGATTTAATTCCCCTAGGGAATAACTCAAATCAGAAGATGTAATCAAAAAAGCCGAACACCATCAAGATACAAGTTGTGTTTAGATATTCTCATGCAATACGACAGTTGTAGTTTCATGGAAATAGATTTTGTATTCGTTTTTGTAGTACTAGTTTCGGATAAATGCTTTTTGGTGTTTCTACTTTAGGCATCCACCTGTAATTATAATATATAAACAATTCATTGATTTCATCATAATTCGAGTAAAGAACTGGAAAGATCATGGTTAGGATAGCTCAAAAAGTGTCTGTACTCATACGCTTATGTTCGTCTCTTGTAGATTGCAAGAATGTAAATCACAAATGCCATATTAAGGTTTAGTATGTAAATGGATTTAATAATTATATATATGGTTGGCTTGAAGTTGTTGTATAACAATTCACGTTTAGGCACTTAAGTTACTAAGTTTGTAGACAAAAATAACACCATTAACATTACATAGTAACTTAAATTGATTTAAATGTTTACAGTCTGATAACTGCTAATAAATAATGTTTGAGTCCTAAATATATTTTAAGAATTCTGTAGGTTATATCAAGCTTCTTAACTCATTGCTTGTTGGATATTTTTGAATAGATAAATTTTTGTACTTATTTTGATGTTTCCAAATTTGTTTGTGATTATTTAAATGAAAATTCAACAGACTTAGGCAAAGAAACTCATGTATTAGTCAGTAAAGAGAATATCACGGGTGGAGTTCCATCTGATTCTGATGGATTAACTTCAAATTTTGATCCAGATTATCATCGTAAAGATGAACAAGTCAATATACAACTTGAACCGGGATCTGATAATCTGGAACCATTAACTGAAAAATATTTACGACTTTCATCGAGGGCTACAGTGACACATTTACGAAAATATGTTGCACAACAAGTTCTTCATGATATATCTAAGTTTCATGAAGTAGGTTACATTATTTTTTTCTCCCTCTCATTAAAATTTTTTTTACAGTTAATGATTTCTATATTTCAGTATTTGAACATTCTAACGAAGACGTATTTTTTAGTTATTAGACTGTACATTCTCTCCATTTATTTGCATTTCATTGTACACAATATGAACAAATGATAAGTTTTTATTCTGAAGAAATTTCGTATTTGATAAATAGATGTGTCAGTCAGTTAGAGGTATGTGATGAGTTGTCAGTTCCGAGTTTCTCATGTCGTTGAAAAACATTTTTTGAGGTCCGTGTAAAAGAGACTAGGTTATGAGTGATCTTGAGGTCCTGGTAGCTTGACTGCACCACCCAAAAGACAATTATTTGTGACTGGTTACAGGGTCTTTGTGTGTGGAGTCTTAGATTAGTTAGTTTTGTGCTTCTGAGGCCTAACTGCCTTGGGGGTAAGGTGAGGTGTGCTTTTTATAGGGCGAACTTTTGTAAACCTCTTTACACTATGAGGCAGGATCGCTGGAGATGGTGTTTTGGGGGGAACAGCTTACTGTGTTGGCAGTACGACCTCTCCCTTCAACCTTGAATTACTTCTCTCCAACTGGCCTTCCTGCCATGTCAGAACATTAGATGTTTAAACTATTAGAGGACATTCCACCGATCTTCACTACTTCGTTGCTACCTTTTTTTAAAAGGTCACAGTTAATTGCTGGATAGTATAATAAGCACAGAACCTAAACATTCCATATATTGTTATATGATCTTTCCCATTCTCGGTATGCACTAAATTTAATGATTTAAGTCCCATGTTTATTCTTCTAGTTTAACATTGTTTTTGTCACAATCTTCACCGTTTTTTTCCTTCCCTTGTTCTGTTTTTATTCAATATTTGGAGATTGATATTTTCATACAAAATAATGAAGATGGTACTTTTCTTGGTCGCGATCATGTATTGAAATTTGTTCGTGTTGTTTATTGGAATGATGTAAGTATTAGTGTTTATTAAAGTTATCTTGATAATTGCAGCAAACTAATAATTGAAGTTAAAAATTTTAACCATTGAATCTCTTGCGTGTTCCGAAACCTAAAGTTCCTAGTCTTGGTTGTATGTGTGTTTACAAAGAACGAAGTAAAAGGTGAGTTCCGGGTGTTCACTATCAAAAAGTCCCGTGCTAGGACGAAATGGCTATTGAATGCTCCCTAATTTTCAATGATACTTTAACTGAGATCGATCTGTGACGAACTCAACCTATAGAATTCGCATAATTCTTGTAAATTCATCACTATTATTTCATAAGGTTTTTTCGCTTAATAAATCTATTGTTTTTACATTTATAGGTCGAACCGATGCCACTGCAATATCGTTACAGCAGAATGATTTATTAAAATGAATTAAGTTACCTTTATTTCTATTTTTCAAAAAAAATTAATTTTCCCTTTTTGTTTTTTTCCTTCTCTTTTTTAAGTTCATATTTACTTACCACTGTGTTGATTTTGATCTCCATATTCTTCATCGATAGATAAAACTATGATATATGTACAATCTCCACTGTGCTACAGTAGATTCTATGAAATAAAAATAACACCATAGTACAACTGAATTTTTTATTTGTTTGTTTTACTCTTTCTTGTTTCCATCTGGACGTAAAACAAAAACAAACCCATGTCTGTCATCAAATCTGTTGTTACTTATTTACTTACTTACGCCTGTTACCCCTCGTCGAGGAGCATAGGCCGCTCTATTGTAGTTAGCTGTAAATTATAAGTTTAACAATAATAAATAATTTTGTCATCTCTATTGTATATGTATATATTATACATAACATGATGCATTCTTTTTCTACATTGTGAATAATCATTTTTACAATTTGTAATTCATGATAAATGCCTTTTGTTATATATGCGTTGTTAAAGAAGAAGAAGATGGAAAGAAAGAAAGAAACTATTTCAACATATATTTGTTACTTTTTACTATTCCTGTTTGATTGAATGTTGTATGTTTCTCAATGTTATGTAATGGTATTATTGGTTGGGATTATTGTTTTGAAGAAAATGACTTACAGCATGTTCTTTTTATCAGAAAGTTATTGCTATAATTAGCTAAGCACTGAAATTTGTTAGGTTGTATCATCCATCCATCCATCCATCCGTCAACTTAGCTTTATCATTAAGAGTGGTGAACCAATAAGCGATTAAAAAAAACAGTCAGTTAGTTACTTATTGAAATGGACACGTTCAGACCTGTTGGGACTGCGTTAATAATAATAATAATTATTATTTTTGAAGAACTGAAGGTACTTTTTGATAAAGAAGTAAATCTACATAAAATACCATGCATTTTTCATAATTATAAATTAACTGGATTTGTTTGTCCAAACTTTATTACTTACTTACGCCTGCTACCCTGTCCTGGGCAATCCTTTCCAATTCTTTCCAGTTGTTATTCATTCTTTTCATATCTGCTTCTGTTCTTTGGCCTTCCTCTTTCCCGATTCCCTTCACCATTCCAAGTTAGGTCTTGTCTCGTGATGCAGTTTGGTGATCTCCTTAATGTATGTCCTATCCACTTCCAACGTCCTTTCCTAATTTCCTCTTCAGCTGGAAGCTGATTTGTTCTCTCCCATAAAACGTTGTTGCTGATACTATTAGGCCAGTGAATGTTGAGTATTTTGCGTAGACAACTGTATATAAATACTTGTAGCTTCTTGACGGTGGATGTAGTGGTTCTCCACGTTTCAGCTCCATACAGTAGGACTGTCTTGACGTTCGTATTGAAGATACTCACTTTGAAGTTAGTCGACAGTTGTTATGACTTTCATATGTTACTCAATTGTAGGAATGCTGTCCTTGCTTTGCCAATCCTCACCTTTATATCTGCAGCAGATCCTCATTCATCAGTGATGCTTCCCAGGTACGTGAATGTTTCCACCTCTTCCAAAGTTTCTCCATCAAGTGTGGTTGGGTTGGTGTTCCGTGTTGTATTTGGGAATCTTACCTTTTCCTTTGTGTATGTTGAGGCCTATTGATGCAGATGCTGCTGTTTTTGTCTTCGTCTGTATTTGTTCGTGCGTATGAGATAGGAGGGCTAAGTCATCTGTGAAGTCCAAATCGTCTAATTGTTTCTGAGATGTCCATTGTATTCCGTGCTTCCACTCAGTTGTCGAGGTCTTCATAATCCAGTCAATCACTAGAAGGAAGAGGAATGGGGAGAGCAGACAGCCTTGTCTGACTCCGGTCCTTCAGTTTCACGTTGGCAAACATCAGGTGGTGGTTGTGATCGGTAGCTAAGCCAACTCCTCTCCTGATTCTCACATCCTCCATTGACCTGAATTTTTTCGATGTGGTTCTTTGCAGCGTAATCCGGAGAGACCTATGTAGCTTCGTGTATGTGTTTGTGGGAAAATATACTGTCACGTATAACCATTTGTTGAGTGCATATAGATTTGCAAATCTGTCACCATTCTCAGTCCATGTCGTCTCACGATATCTTCGTATCCGATTTTGTCTATTCCAACCTTAGCGTTTAGGTCTCCCATCAGGATATTCAAGTTGTTTCGTGATTACTTCACTATGATTGGTTTCAGCCTCTCATTGAACTGATCTTTATCGTCGTCATTGCTATCATTGGTGGGTACATAACATAACACCTCAAGCCTTCGACCTAAAGGTCTAGTCCACAATACAGTAGAGCAACGTAAGGAGATGCAGTTTCATGGTAGCCGGTGACCAACAATAGGTTTATACGCCATTTGTTCCTTCAGGATACTGGAGCCCATGTGCACCATTGGTTTGGAATCAGGGTCTTCCAACTTCCCTAGGTGGACTTTCCATGTCCACCAACCCGTTTATTGCACTGTACATTGGCTTTTGGTCCTCTCAATTTCGTAAAAAACAGTAATACCACGAGAAGGTAGTGCGTAGGACTTCTCTGGCAGTGGCTGTATACTCGTATTCATACATTCAACGTTTGAACGAACAATCAATGAATTCCATTCTATCCATTACAATTAGATAAGCATAGTAATTTTTTTTAGCCGTTTAACGTGACGTTTAGCTTGAGGTCTTATTGTCTTCTGTTTTTTAAAGACCTTTAAATAACTAATAAATGTGACCACTGATTGAATAATATTCTTTTATTTCGATTTTCGATCGTGGGATTTTTGATGTAAATTCGATATCACCTTTTTGAATTATTTATTTTCTTTGAAAATTCACAATATGAATTGAGTTGTTTTTTTTTTCAATGAACATTTTTTTATAGATAAAGGCGAATAGAATCTTTCCTGCCATTTAATGGTGCTGTAACATTTAGCATCATTTGGTCATTTTTGGAATTGAGGATTTAAAACTGAGGTATGTTCATTTTTCTTTGAAACATGATATATTGTTGTTCCCATGTACTGTTTTTCATCACTAAATTGAACAGTAATTGAACTTGAAAATAAATTTTCATTGATCTTAATTTATTTTTTTGAGCAGTTCAGTTAAATGAGTAACTTATGTTTTCCTGTCATAATCTTTAAGTTGTACCCATTGTTGTTCAGAAGTTGGGACAAGGAAACTGATTTCAGGTGTTTATAAGGCAATAATAATCCTATTTAGTCCTTAATAAATGTATCCTGTATCATTTACGTGATTAGTCTTGAGAAAGTAAGCATTTAAATTTTACTATTTCTGTGACTTTAAATTCTGGTTGTTACGTATTATTATTTCAACTCTTATAAATGTGGTGGGCAATTTGTGTTGGAACTAAGATCTATGAATTATCTGCTGTTGTATATTGTTATCCACAATCCATCTCTTTGTGTATCTGTGTTAAGAGATGGTCATGGACCATACATTATTGGCTTTGTAATATTTTTTCATTGTCACAACTGACCTTGTTTTAAATTCTTGATGTGATCAAAATGCATGGATACTTTTTTAAAATTACATCAAACATTGTTAGTGTAACACTTCATCTTGCGAATTTGCACTATTCTTTTTATCTTATTCATAAATATGTGTGTCTTCCCGTTGTTGATATTACAGGCGCATCTAGCTGACAGGTCTCCCATCTAGTATAAATTGCATCTTTTTTAGGTTCCACTGTTAATCACTATCCAACTATACTCAAATCCTATTATCTATTAATTTTGACACTGAAACTTCCTTTCATTTGCCTAAGTTTAGTTTCAGAAAGAAAATAACCAGCAACGGCAAATAATTGCGTAGGGCGTTCAACTTTTAACTTATAAGCCACAGATTCGACTCCCACTCCCACTAGTCCTCGCACATAATTTGCGTGATTTAAAGCCAAGTACATGGGTATGTGATTATTAACTGGCTTACTTCAGTCAGTTAATATTTATAGATGTTTCTGTTGTCAACACCAATCTGGGTGTCATATTTTACACTTCCTATTTTACATGTGTTAAAAATAAACACTCTGGTATCCTGCCTTTTCTCATTTTATGTTACATATTATATAATAGTTATTAATTTAAACAATGCGTTATCATCCAATCCATAAATCCCAAGACGACCATTATGGTAAGCAGTCGATTTCTTTAGTGCACTATTATTATTACTGTTGTATCGTTCAACTTGATACTTTTAGTTTCTGCGTCCTAACTTAATCTAAACCTTTCGCTTATATCTTTTGAATGCTGTATGTATATGATATAAAAAACTACCAGTTTGAGTTCCCGTTTTTCGAAAATTCGCTACATTACTGAAATATTTTCTAAATAACTGATTTTTATGCACAAGTACGTTTTCATCACGTTCACTTCTTAACTAGGCAGAACTAAATGATGTAACATAAAATTTTAATTGCTAGTCATCGTCTAGCGTTTTTAGCGTTTTTTAAAAAACGACCAGACAACATCCCGGCAGAGACACTGAAAGCAAATGTAGCAGCAACTGCCAAGATACTCCACATCCTCTTCAGTAAGATTTGGGACGAAGAACAAGTTCCAACAGACTGGAAAAAAGGACTTCTGATCAAAATACCAAAGAAAGGTGATCTTAGCAAGTGCGATAACTACAGGGGCATCACTCTCCTCTCAATACCAGGAAAAGTCTTCAACAAGGTATTGTTAAACAGAATGAAGGACTCCGTTGACATACAACTTCGAGATCAACAGGGTGGATTTCGTAAGGATAGATCGTGCACAGATCAAATCGCAACTCTACGTATCATTGTGGAACAATCAATCGGATGGAATTCGTCACTCTACATCAACTTCATCGACTACGAGAAGGCATTTGATAACGTGGACAGGACAACACTATGGAGGCTTCTTCGACACTACGGCGTGCCTGGGAAGATAGTCAATATCATACAGAACTCCTATTGTGGTGTTGTCTACTTATATCTATATAAGTAGTATATGGTGTGGGTCAGGCATAGAATGTATTTTGGCAGAAGACCGATGAGGAAAAAACTGAAATGAAGCGCAATCGTCTCGAAAATGCGTGAGCAATGGAATAAGAGAAGAAACAGTGAAGATTGAAACAATTGGTTGTTAATTTGCAAATTGACTGTTCATTGTTTGGTAATCAGAATTTACTGAGATAGTCTGTAATCTTTGCTTAAATACATTCGATTGTCCCCAACTAGTGTTCTGTTCACTACACTATGATGGACTAAACTGCCAAATCGTCCACGGAGGACAACTCACCGACTCATTCGAGGTAAAGACCGGTGTTATGCAAGGTTGCTTACTCTCACCGTTTCTCTTTTTCCTGGTGATCGACTGGATCATGAAGACGTCAACGACTGGAGGAAAGCACGGGATACAGTGGACAGGCAGGATGCAACTTGACGATCTAGACTTCGCGGATGATCTGGCTCTTATATCACAAACGCAACAACAAATGCAGGAGAAAACGACCAGTGTAGCAGCAGCCTCAGTAGCAGTAGGTCTCAATATAAACAAAGGGAAAAGCAAGACTCTCCGATACAATACA